GTTACCTGTTTTACATCCACAAAATGTACACATTCTAACCACATACCAAGAAAGGCACAGCCACACTGAGCGCATTTGTGTTTATGGGAAAGAATATTCTGAGCTTGTGAGTTCTTCTTTAGTGCTCTGTGTAAATAAATGTTTTCGTCTTCCAGTTGAGTGAAAATAAATCTTGCTGTTAGCTCCTGTGCAATTGAAAAGATAGAATAATCAGTATTATTTACAAGACCCAAAAGAACCTCAGAACAGTATTTCCGAAGCACCATACTTAGCAGGCGGCTATGCAAGTAGGGATCCTTGTTTTGATATTCACTTCTACAGGGGAGCCTTGTGGTCTGTAACATTAAGTTGCACAGGAACCTGAACTGAACGGCATTTTGTTCACAGGTTCACAAATTCAGACTCAATTAAATACAAAATATACAATATTGCACAAAGGCACTGTGGTCAATTTTATACTGTACTTCGACAAGATTGAGAAACCAGATTGAGAATGCTTGAAGCACAAACATTTTATTTTACCATAGATGTTAACAAAAACAAAACAACTGCTTTGTATATCAACCCTAGACCAGCAGATGGTTCTTACAAATAGAGATTGTGAAAAGTTCAGAGTTAGAGATGATAAATAAAGGGTGGAGAAGATACTGGGAAAATGGTGAAATTGGGTCTTAGGTAGAGATGAGCATCAACCTCAATTTGGAGGTTTGTGCTGGTTCATCAGTGTGGTACCACAGTGCCGTGTGTTCCCTTTCCCCACTGTCCCAGCCTATGGTGGAAGGGTACGGTTCCCCTAGTGACCAGCTAGCACATGCTGCTTTTCTCCTCCTCTTTGCACAATTGTCCAGTTGCAGCAGGAGTGTAGACTTCCCTCCTCCATCTCCTCCAAAAGCCGCCTGCTCAAATGAGGAAGTGAGGCAGTGATTCCTGCAGCGCTGCCTTCAAGTGGGCAGGTGCCAGAGGAGGCAAAGGAGGGAAGTACACACTTCAATCACGTGAAGAGGAAAAAGCAGTGCACGCCAACTGGTAAATGGGGGAGCTGCCTGCGGGATGAAGGAAGAGAATGTGCAGCACCTGTGATGCTGCACCAATAAACCAGCATGAACCTCCAAAATGACATTTTTGCCCATCTCTAGTTTTAGGAGGTACTGTAAATGAAACAGTCCTTTGAATTTCTGTTACAGGTACATGGACACAATCTGAGAGCAATCTCAGAAGAAGAGACAGAAAATTACCATACCGTTGATCTTCATTACACTGAAATACAATCAGTGCAAGATTCTTTGTCTTCCTAGATGATGTAAAGATATAAAGCTACTTGTATATATACAGACAAGATTCAATAAAGTCCTTATGAAATTCAAGCAATGCATAACTCTTATTTTAAATTAATATTTAAATAGCTAGAACTGGGAGGGCAGCCACTGTCTTCTCACACATGTCCCTGGCATTTTTCCCCAGAATATATCCTTAGAAAGTGTCCATACTTTTAAATTCTCATTTTTCCAGGCTTCCTACTTATTTTGTAACTATGGATGGTTCATTGAGCTCTTTGCATATAGATATATGCAGGCTCTGCCACAAGGAGATTATTTTGTAGAATTTGGAAATATTATGTTGAGTTAGATTTAAAAATCAAATATTTCTGACAGGGTTTAGAAAAACAAATTTGCTTTAGAAGATGTATTACTCATTGTAAAATCACTACTTCAAACAAAATAAAAAATGCAGGAAGCTACCTTAAAATGAGTAGAAGATTATTTATTGCAGAATTATTGACAGTGGCCAAAGTACTGTTGCTTAGTGTAGTAAATTACACCAGAGTAGGCGTATCAAATCAATGAATGGGGATCTACTGAATCAACTATGTAGGTTCCTATTGATATAAGTGGGCCTAGTCTAACTGATTTACTAAGCTAAAGTTGCCATTAGATTAGGCCAATTTGAATTAATGGAACATATGGAGGAATCGGTAGTTTTCCACTGATTCAGTAGGCCTACTGTAGCATGATTTAGTATGCCAAGCAACAGAATTTTGGCCACTAAATGTCAGCAGGTCTCCAGGGTTTCCAGGCGATTTTTAAAAATCTCTGTTGAGAGACATCAAGGATGGATCTCCGGGTCTTCTGTATGCAGACCATGTGCTCCACCACCATGTTATTGAACCATTCTTTGATGACACAAAATGGCTCATTAAAAGAGAAAAGGGAATTTATTTAGAACAACAAAGGTACTGGCCTAGATTCAACAAAAGCAGGCCTACTGAACCAACAGGAAGTTGGTAATTCAACACATAATAAGTTTAATTAACGGGTCAATTCTAGTTGAGGCTGACATTAGATTTGGGCTACTGTTTGGTAAAGGTACAGAATACTACAAAATTTTGGCACCAGGTGCAAAATTATTTAAATGGTACAAAATCATTTTACATTTACATAATTTAGGTGTTGTTGACTTACAAATCATTTTAATACCATTTATTTTTTTTTCATTTGACTATAAAGAATAAACATCTTATTTCATTTGTGTAAGGCTGAGTGGAGGCTCCTGCTAATGAATGGAAGTAAGTAATTTTTTATTGATTCTTCTTTTCCCCCAGAGCCTGCCATGCTACTCCAACATCATATGAAAACTTCCCTTAATGTTCCAGAACAAGTAGAGGTACAGATGGAGTTAGGGCTTCAAGAAGAATGGTTACATTACTTTAAAAAATGGTTCCCATTATCCTTAGTGGAAATATTCCAGAACATTCTTAATCCTTAGGCTGAAACCCATCATTTAAAATAACATGGTACTTCTAGGTTTTAAAAGAACATGACAGGTTTTTAACAACAAACATAGACATTTTGAAAAAAAAATAAAAACAGTGTAAGAGTGGGAAAGGTTATCTATTGAATGAAGTTTACAAGAGCATCTCTGAGGGTTCTGAAAATGCTTTAAAAGTGACTAATAGCGGATTACCAAATAATTAGCATACAACAATTAATAAGGTAGGTTAACTGATTTTTAAAACTTGTAACTGTCAAATTAATTTTAATTGATTTTAAAAACTTATTTAACAATTGGATAGCAGATTTTAAAATATATCTGCATTTGTAAATATGGCATGTATGTAAAGAATACATATGTACCTGTATAAAGACAACACATTGTGAGGTCTATATTAAGAGCTGTTCCATTTTCTCTCACATAATCTTTCATCCTGAAATAATGTCTCCTGAGCTATAAACATGCATAATATAACACGAATCAACCAAAACTCATAGGAATAGCCAACTTAAAGTGTCAATTCAAATGTAAGGGCCAACCATGACAGACCTCCTGAATCAACATCACAATTTATTTATTAATTGGTGCTTCTGACATGAACAAAAGAAAAGAAACATGATAATCAATTCACTTTAAAAGTCCTATTTGTTCAAAGAGACCTTTCTAGCTAGAACTTTAAGTTGGATTTAGCTGTATGATTTATTTGATCAGGTGCAAGCCCGACAAACTTTGCATCCTGTTTCTAAAAATCTGCTACATTCATTTTTAAGTTATTTAGTTTAGTTTAAACTTCCACCGATCACTTTAATAATATTAGCCAAATCCATCAAACTACAGAAAGGTTGTTTACAATTGGTTGAATTGAAAGAATTCAAATTAGTTTGATCTTTTTTTTAAAAAAAAAAGCATTTTAAAACTGCAATTACAAGAAGAAAATATACTTCTTTAATGAGCAAACCCATTGGTGCAGTCAAGTCTCTGCTCATCACCCGATAGGTTAAGGTAACCAGCTCAAAGTTGACTCAGCCTTTTATCCTTCTGAGGTTGATAAAATGAACACCCAAATTGCTGGGTGGGTGTGGGCAAAGTATTCCTTCTGTGATTATTTTGTAACCTGTCCAGAGAATGCTCCAAGCACTATGGGGTGGAATTAAATAATGAATGAATGAATGAATGAATGAATGAATGAATGAATGAATGAATGAATGAATGAATAAATAAATAAATAAATAAATAAATAGTAACCTTCAGAGTCAAAATGTCTTCCTCTTGCACAGCACTAACTGGAATCCTCTCAAGCAACGGATTATCTTCACAATAAAGTTCCTCAAGTTCAAGTTCCTCCATCTGTTTCAATAACATAAAGAAATGTTTAATACAAGAACAACAAAGATCAACGTTTACAATAAAATGTTTAGAAGGTCTGATTCTAACTATTTGTCATTGTTTTTATCCTTAATGTACAGGACTGAAGAAAACAATAGCCTTGCACTGTGTGAGTTGTGAAGTATTTTCTGTCCCGAATAAAAATTCCACTATGCAAAAATGCTCCATGGCTAAAGAAATCTATGGACTTCTTTCTACCCAAGACACAGCCACAAAGCATTAAGTACAATAAAAGTAAAATAAAATGAGATAATAAAGAAAAATAAAAAGTATAATTCTTATATATTTCCTAAGTCTAGTTAATTCCAATTTCTCCTCACTAAAGCTGTGTGTGTATGTCTTCCAATTTCTCCTCACTAAAGCTGTGTGTATGTCTACACACACGCACACGCACACACAAACACACACACACACACATATACACAAATGGGTCTAGTGATATATCACACTCCAGATAACTCTAGACCCACAATGAAGGCATTTTGTACAATTCTCACATGCACAACTGTAAATATTCTAAACACTGTCTGAGATTTAAAATGACCCAAGAAATATGCTTGTTCTTGCCATTGGACTACTTTCAGCTAATTTCGTGGTTGCTGACACCATCTGCAGTGATCATGGAGTCCAAGAAAGTAAAATCTGTCACTGCCTCCATATCTTCCAATTCTATTTGCCAGGAGGGGATGGGACCAGTGGCCATTATCTTAGTTTTTTTGATGTTGAGCTTCAGACCATTTTTTGCACTCTCCTCTTTCACCCGCATTAAGAGGTTCTTTATTTCCTCCTCACTTTCTGCCATCAGAGTGGTATCATCTGCATTTCTGATATTGTTGACATTTCTTCCGGCAGGCTTAATTCCAGTTTGGGATTTCTCCAGTCCAGCCTTTCGCATGATATATTCTGCATATATATTAAATAAGCAGGGAGACAATATACAGCCTTGTCATACTCCTTTCCCAATTTTCAACCAATCAGTTGTTCCATATCCAGTTCTAACTGTTGCTTCCTGTCCCACATTTAGATTGTTTGTTGTGGTCCACACAGTCAAAGGCCTTTGCGTAGTCAATGAAGCAGAAGTAGATGTTTTTCTGGAACTCTCTGGCTTTCTCCATAATCCAGCGCATGTTAGCAATTTGGTCTCTAGTTCCTCTGCCCCTTCAAGATCCAGCTTGTACTTCTAGGAGTTCTCGGTCCACATACAGCTGAAGCCTACCTTGTAGGATTTTGAGGATAACCTTGCTAGCGTGTGAAATGAGTGCAATTGTACTGTAGTTGGAGCATTCTTTGGCACTGCCTTTCTTT